AAAAAAAAAAAGGGGGGGGAACCCTTGTGGTTCAGCCGTTCCCTGCCCCTGGCGCCTTTGAATTGCTTCTCTCTGCCTGGTATACCCTTGTGTTGTTGTTGTTGTTGTTGTTTTTAAGTTTATTTATTTTTGAGAGAGAGAGTGAATGGGGGAGGGGCAGAAAGAGGGGGAGAGAGAGAATCTCAAGCAGGCTCCACACTGTCAGCACGGAGCCCGATGTGGGGCTGGAACTCACCAACCGTGAGATCATGACCTGAACGGAAACCAAGAGTCAGACACTTAACTGACTGAGCCACCCCTTGTTTTTTGTTGTGTGTTGTTTTTGTTTTTTTAAACATTTCATTGCTAAAAATTCCAAACACACACCAAAGTAGAGAAAATAGTATAATGCTTTAATATCACTGGTACCTAGTCCAAGTTAATCTTCCCCCATTTGTCTCAAACGTGTCTTTTTACAATTATTTGGAAAGAGATATAAACAAGTTTCTAGGTCTTGAGCACAGGAACGGTGAGGTCTGATGCATACCGGCATCCTTTGGGCCGCTCTGTTGCAAGTGAAGTGAGCAGGCGTGGAGATGGGGACTCCAGTGGTGACGCCATTGTAATAATTCAGCCTCATGGTGATGGCCTGGAATCGGGCGATGGAGAGGAGACAGAGAGATCCGAGATGTATTTTGGGCGCAGGTTGGAGAATGTATTTATACACAAACCTGCCCCTGTGCTTCTGGTTGTCTGCATGCAGTACACATGTCAGCCAGCAGGTGGCACCATTGGCTGCTTGCTGGTCTTGAGTTCCAGGCAAGGACCTCTTGGGGCGTGGCCTCCGCAGGTGGGGTCTGGCACTGTCACCCCAAACTCTGCCTCTAAGTCAATACTGCCCAAAGCAATCTACACATTCAGTGCAATCCCAATCAAAATTGCACCAGCTTTCTTCTCGAAGCTAGAACAAGCAATCCTAAAATTTGTATGGAACCACAAAAGACCCCAAATAGCCAAAGTAATATTGAAGAAGAAGACCAAAGCGGGAGGCATCACAATCCCAGACTTTAGCCTCTACTACAAATCTGTAATCATCAAGACAGCATGGTACTGGCACAAAAACAGACACACAGACCAATGGAATAGAATAGAGACTCCAGAATTGGACCCACAAACATATGACCAACTAATCTTTGACAAAGCAGGAAAGAATGTCCAATGGAAAAAAACCAGTCTCTTTAAAAACAAATGGTGCTGGGAGAACTGGACAGCAACATGCAGAAGAATGAAACTAGACCACTTTCTTATACCATTCATAAAAATAAACTCAAAATGGATAAAGGACCTGAATGTGAGACAGGAAACCATCAAAACCCTAGAGGAGAAAGCAGGAAAAAATCTCTCTGACCTCAGCTGCAGCAATTTCTTACTTGACGCATCCCCAAAGGCAAGGAAATTAAAAGCAAAAATGAACTATTGGGACCTCATGGAGATAAAAAGCTTCTGCACAGCAAAGGAAACAATCAACAAAACTAAAAGGCAACCGATGGACTGGGAAAAGATATTTGCAAATGACATATCAGACAAAGGGCTAGTATCCAAAATCTATAAAGAAGTCACCAAACTCCACACCCAAAAAACAAATAATCCAGTGAAGAAATGGGCAGAAGACATGAATAGATACTTCTCTAAAGAAGATATCCAGATGGCCAACAGGCACATGAAAAGATGCTCAACGTTGCTCCTCATCAGAGAAATACAAATCAAAACCACACTCAGATATCACCTCACACCAGTCAGCGTGGCCAAAATGAACAAATCAGGAGACTATAGATGCTGGAAAGGATGTGGAGAAACGGGAACCCTCTTGCACTGTTGGTGAGAATGCAAACTGGTGCAGCCGCTCTGGAAAACAGTGTGGAGGTTCCTCAAAACATTAAAAATAGATCTACCCTATGACCCAGCAATAGCACTGCTAGGAATTTACCCAAGGGATACAGGAGTGCTGATGCATAGGGGCACTTGTACCCCAATGTTTATAGCAGCACTCTCAACGATAGCCAAATTATGGGAAGAGCCTAAATGTCCATCAACTGATGAATGGGTAAAGAAATTGTGGTTTATATACACAATGGAATGCTACGTGGCAATGAGAAAGAATGAAATATGGCCTTTTATAGCAACATGGATGGAACTGGAGAGGGTTATGCTAAGTGAAATAAGTCACACAGAGAAAGACAGGTACCATATATTTTCACTCTTATGTGGATCCTGAGAAACTTAACAGAAGGCCATGGGGGAGGGGAAGAAAAAAAAAGAGAGGGAGGGAGGCAAACCATAAGAGACTCTTAAAAACTGAGGGTTGATGGGGGGGTGGGAGGGTGGGGAGGGTGGGGGGTGGGCATTGAGGAGGGCACCTGTTGGGATGAGCACTGGGTGTTATATGGAAACCAATTTGACAGTAAATTTCATATTAAAAAAAAAATTAAGTGTTTTCTAATTCGAAAAAAAACAGAAAAAGCCTCAGCTTCCGAGGCAGTGTGGGCCTGAGAGGTTGGCTCCCTGGCAGCCAGCCTGAGCTGAGTTCTTGAGGTGCTTGCAGCCAGCAGTGAATCTGAGTGGAAGAGCCCTGGTGGAGCCCGAGGGAGCAGGTAGCCGAGCGTGTAGACCGGCCCACAGCGTCTCCCCTGCTTCCCCTCCTTCTTCTCTCACTTCTGCACCGCCACCTAATTAAAGCCACCTGAGCTGCTTGCCATGGCCTTCTTCCCTGCATCCCCTCTGAGCTTCCAGTCTCTTCTCTGCCCAGCAGCCATCTGCAGACTGGTCTCCTTCGGCTCACCTATCAAAGCCACCTGTTTATTTCCCTGCAGGACTTACCATGATTTGTGAATGTCCATCTCCCTGTCTCTGTTCATTTATTTGCTCCTGCTGTTTCTCTCTGGAAGGAAAGCTCCACGAAGGCAGGGGCATCACATCTATGTCCACAGTAATCCTGGAAGGGCACAGGAGCCAGCAAATCTTTGTTGCACCAGTGAGTGAGTCAGCCTGAAATAATTTCTAGTGACCGTTCTTCCAGAAGGTTTCTCTGTGTGTATATGCACACAGGGAGATGTATCTGGTTTGACAACAAATGAAATATGTTTATTTGTTACGTTCCTCTTGAAGTTTCAATTTTTCGAGGAATCCTTCTGGCAGTAGAAAGGAGAGCAGGTTTGGAGGGGGAGCAGGACTAGAGGTCAAGAGACGCACTGGGAGGCTGCACAGAAATGAAGGAGGCCTGAACTAAGCAAAGGCCGGGGCGATGGTGGGATGTGGGCCATGAGGGTTTAGGGCCCAGCTGGATGATGGGAATGCTGGAGAGGGAGGCTGCAGGATGACCCCCAGGCAACCAGGTTAGAGCCCTGGGGAGTGGCAAAGGAACCAGTTGAGGGGCAGGTTCAAGGAGGGCGTGCTGTGTTACAGGGCTGGTGTACCGTTCGATGGGGGCCTCTGAGTTGAGTTCATTCGAAGGGAGAGTTTGAGTAGAAGGAGCTGGCAGAGTGGGATGGATGGGTAAGAGGGAATAGCAGATGCAAAGTACTCTGGGGCCTGGTCTTCCTGGAACTCTTGCCTGCCTCACCCTGGCCCTCCTGAGCCCCATCCAGCCCTGCTGCCCTCTTCCTTTCCTGCCACACTCACCCTGGGTCTGAATCCTGATGCCCCCACCTTGCCAGCCTTGTGGCCTTAGGCAAACTCCTTACTTTCTGCTTTCTGTGTCCTCATGACATGGTACAGGGCTGACGACGCTTTCTAGGATTATGTGAGGGGTTCAGGTGATACACGAAACAGGAACCAGCACAGAGCAGGAAGGGGCACAGCTCTCGGTAGCTTTTGTCCCTTCCCTCGGCCCTTGGAATATCCTCCTCCTCCTCCTTCTTTTTCTTTTCTTTTCTTTCTTTTCTTTTCTTTTCTTTTCTTTTCTTTTCTTCATTTATTTATTTATTTTTAGTGTTTATTTATTTTTGAGAGAGAGAGAGAGAGACTATGGGTGGGTGAGGGGCAGAGAGAGAATGAGACACAGAATCCGAAGCAGGCTCCCGGCTCCACACTGTCAGCACAGAGCCCGACGCGGGGCTCGAACTCGTGAACCGTGAGATCACGACCTGAGCCGAAATCAAGAGTCGGATGCTTAACCAACTGAGACCTCCCCGGGTGCCCCATGGAATCGCCTTCTTTTTAAAAATTTTTATCACGGGTTGGGGGAACACCCGTCTCAGTACGGTTGGAGCGAGGATCACGTTAGGTTTGTCCTTGGACCGAGGTAGATGTGTCCCAGCACTGAGTTGTTGCTCGTGCCCTGGGGTTGCTTCCCCTACAGGTGAGGGGTGGGCGCCTCCTCCACGAGACCCGCGGCAGTCGCTCTGGCTACAGTGCTCAGTCCCGACTTGGCTGCAGGGTGAGCCTTGGACAGGGTCTCTGAGGCTGCTCCTGCCCTTCATGGGAGAGGTGATGACTTCTCCCTGGCCTCCCTGTGGCCCTGCCTCCAGCTCCTCTCCACCCCAGCCTCAGAGACTCCCCGGGGCCCTGGCTCCCAGCCTGCAGCCTTCCCCCTTTGCTGTTGTAGGTTTTCAGTGCTGAACTTAAGAAAAGGGATTCTTTGCTTTGATTACTGCCCAGACAAGAACTTGGTGGGTAAGTTATCTTCACGGCGCACGAAGCCGCTGGCCTGGTGGAACTGGAGTGAGGCTGCTGGGGGCGTGGGGACTATCAGAGCTGAGGAGGAGCGCTTGCAGGGCCCGGTTCCTCTCCTGCTGCTCTGGTCCCCACCTGTGGGCACCTGGGGTGGGGTGGTGACTCAGTCTCTGCTTAGCACGATAGGGCAGCAGGGGGGCGGACTGTCACGACCACCCCCTCCCCCCCCCCATCTGCTGCACCTGCCTGGGGTCCAAGGCATGGTCCCAGGAGAAGTTCTCAGCATAGGACCCCAGTGGTTAGCACCCATTTTTTGACCTCAGTGACTGGCGGCTACGACCCCCTCATCCGCCTGTGGAACCCCTTCTTCTCAAAAAGGCCCATGTGGCTGATGAAGGGGCATCAGACCTCCGTGACGCACATCCTCATGAACAGCAAGAACAGCAGCATCCTCTTCAGCATCTCCAAGGACAAGGTGCTGCCCTCATGGAGCATGGCTCTTACACCCACTGGTCCCTGTTCCCCGGCAAGGACGCTGGCCCAGGGATGCTGATCTAGCTCGGTCAGCTGGGGCCCAGGGGAATGGTGTGACCTCCCTGCCTGTGGCTGCACACCTAGGCTAGGGCGTAGAGGGAGAGGCCCCAGGTGGAATCACCAAGAAGGGGCCATGGGTCTCGAGAACCCCGGCCAGAGGCCTGCGCCCGCTCTGAGCGGTCCGCCAGAGCTGGCTTCCCGTGTGGCCCAGCCTGGCTTCTTACTCTGCGGTCCTGGGCCAGGCCCTTCCCTTTCCTGAGCCTCCGTCCCCTCATCCACAGGATGGGTTGTTGGGAGTTAGAGGAGAAGAGCTGGTGGTAAAGCCGCGGTGTCATGTCTGGCGCATAGTAGGTGTGTGATACGTGGGAGCCATTCCCTCACCCTCCCTCTGCCCCCGGACCCAGACTCACACCTCAGCTCTCCTAGTGACCCCTTCTCGGCTGCCCTGGCTCTCAGGGCCTGACTGGAACTTCTCCAGTGCCTGGGGCTCCCTCGCTCAGGGCCTGTCCCTTTGCTGCCCCGCATCGATTGGTTCAGAGTACCCCCCATCTGCTGGGCTGCCGGCTGTTCTGGTCAGTGTGGGGATGAAGGCCAACGGCTCCAGGTGCCCTCCATCTGGGCACAAGTTTGTGTCTTCTGGGACTCAGGAGACTGAGAATTGGCTGGACCCTTGGGTCAGCCAGGCCACCCTGCCTAACGCGGCCCACACTGGCTGTTGTCTGGCATCTTCCCGGCAGTCCCCAGAACCGGGCGTCATGGCCTATGCTGAAGGATCTGAGGCTGGAGGGGCAGGCGGCAGGGGCGGGCGGGCCCCAGTCCTCACAGTAGTGATGGGCAGAGCCAGGATATGGACTGGAGTCCGGTCGGTCCCAGTCCCTGCCCTTCCCTACTTACTGCTGGTGTCTCCAAGCAACGTGTGTCCCGGAGGGACTTCGTGGGGCCTCTCTAGGGACTGCTCCTCCACTTGCGATGAACTCAACGGGCTGCCCTGGAGACAGGTGGGCTTTTTCAGCAACTACGTTGGTAGCCACTGTGTGTCCTGCCAGGCGTTAGCTGAGGTCGGCTGGAGTGGAGCCTGTGAGGGTCTGCAGGGGCGCGTGCCGTCTCGCTTGGTCTTCATCCTCAGCCGTTGAGGGGAGGCCATGGGGGGAAGAAGCCTCGGGGCGGGGCGGGGGCGTTGCCCCAACTTTCTCATCTGAGCGTAAGAATGGCAACTCTGTTACGCGGTCGGGATCTGTGCAGCGGGCGCGTACGGAAAGTGCTTACACTGCGCGCGGCTGGCCCTGGCCTGCTCACATCCCAGGCCTCAGGGGCCGGCCGTGTCCCCCAGGGCCCACTCTCGGCCTCTGCCTGCTTCCCACCCCCCAGAATATCCGCGTGTGGGACATGCAAGACTACATATGCCTTCAGTCCTTTTGTGGGAAGCTCTTTGCCCTGGGCAACTGCCCCATCACCAGCGCCTACTTCCACGAGAACGAAGACAGCCTCGTCTGCACGACCTACTCAGTGAGTGCTACGCAGGGAGGGAGGCCATGGGCAGAGACTACGTTAATCAGACGCCGCCCATCCCTCAAGGAACCTAGGCCGTAGAAGAGCAGAGAATGTCCGCAGAAAATGCTCCACGTGGTGATGGAGATTTATGCCCGGTGCTTCTTGGAGCATAGAGAAAGGGTCCTTAGCCTAGCCTGAGGTAGGGCATAGTCAGGGAAGGCTCCCCGGAGGAGGAGACACCAGATTGACGCTTTTTGCTTCCTAGAAGTTATGAGGGACGTTGGGGCTCCCACAGAGTAGGGGTGAGAGGTATCGGCAGGCATGCTGAGGAACCAGGAGGCCTTGCTGGGCTCGGGCCTGTGCACAGTCAGGATGTCTTAATGTTGCAATTTATTGGAAGTGTTCCCCTGGGGCCAGTCACTGAGGGCAGAACCCAGTGCCCAGTTGCCTGCCCCTCTCCTCACCTGCAGATTGGGATCCTAAAAGGCTACTTGGAGACCAAGGGGCCTGGGAAAGCAGGGGAGAAGACCTCGACTTACAGCACACCCCTGTGCGCCATCCTCTACAGTAAGATTTTTAAGCAGGTGAGCGGGCTGGGGCCAGCCGTCTCTCGGGCTGGCAGGAGTGCCGGGTGACGCAGGGCAGGACCCAGACCTCCCGTCGTGCCCGGAGAGCAGTCAGCACAGTGGTGGGGTGGGGTGGAATTCATAGCATTGATGGTGGTGTGGGACAGCTGCTTAGGGGTGAGAAGCAACCCCGAAGAGGGGTCGGCGGCCTGAGGGGGGCAGGGGCTCTACCACTTGGTCAGTGGATCACCTCATTCCCCCGCAGCCTGCGAGCCCCTGGCCACTGCTGCAGGTCAGCTCTGGACGCACCGCCTCTGTACGCAGAGTATGAGGTGGAACACTAGGTGTGGGCCGCTCTGCGAGGTTCCCCAGGGGGGTGCTGTTCCTGGGTGTCATTATCCAAGAAAGCCCAGTCCAGGGAAGGGAAGTCCAGGGAAGTCTAGCACCCTCATCCCGAGTAGAGATCTCTGGGTGGAGCAGAACAACTGGGCATATGGTTTTTGAGGGGTGGGGACAGAAAGGGCTCCCAGGCCCTCTTCCCACTTCCACTGGGACCCCTTTTCTGGCCTGGGCTCTGAGCAGGACAGGCTGTATCTGCTGCAGAGATAGCCTTTGGCTGCACGAAGCCATCGTTCACCTCTCTGCACTTCTCTCTCAGGCTGGTTCCTGGCACCACCATCCCGCACACCTTAGGGCCCTTCGATGCCTTCAAACAGTTAAAAAAAAAAAAAAATCCCCAGTTTTTCTAGATTGTTCTCAGCAGGAGGGTTGGTCTGAAACAGGCTCACCTGCTACTGTTGCATTGAAGTGGAGTGACTATCCTTTGTTCTCAGCATTTCCTTTCTTAGAGGGCAGTTAGTGTATTTCCTGTTGTTTTCTTCCCCCTCCATTAATGATGCTTCAGTAAACATCTTTTCTGATTTAGAGATTATTTTCTCTGGATAGATTCTGAGTTAAAGGGGATTTCACCAATGTGGTTCCTTCTAAAAGAGTTGTGCCAGTTTGCACTGGCCTGTGCTCCAGAGCAGAGGAAGGCCTGTTTTCAAGAGGGGCTTATCCAGCAGCAGGAACGCCTTGAATGCCTGTCTTCTCAGTGCATAGCGGGGAAGTGGGGGGCTGGGCTGGCCCCAGCCATGACAGGGGGAGGCCACCCTTGAGAGTGGGGACACTCTGTTCTCCAGGAGCCCCAGCCGTGTGCTCCCCCACAGGTAGTGAGCGGCTGCCTGAGCAGCTTGGTGACAGTGTGGGAGATCACGACGGGCAGGAGGATGATGGAGTTCTGTGTGACTGGGGACCAGCACGTGGAGCTGACCACCATGTGCCTGGATGAATCAGAGCGGCGCCTGCTTACGGGTTTGTGCGACGGCACCATAAAGATGTGGAACTATGCCGTTGGCGAATGCCTGCTGACCTTCCCCAACCCGGACCAGCTGGAGGTCGGTCTGGTGTGTCAGTGGTGCCCGGGGGGTGCCTTGTGAGAAGCAAAGCGTACCTCTCATGACCCTGGGGGCGCACTATCTTTTTATGCCTCTTTTTAAGGCTGTGCCTATAGACTGCCTGGCTTCTTGCCTTCCTGAGCCTTTGTGTTCTTGCCTGTGAGGTGAAGGTAGGGAATAGTGCCTGTCCTTAATAAGGATTCTACGAGGGCTGGCTACCCTTGTTCTTTTAATTTGTTGGCACTCCTCGCCCCAGGTATGAGAGCTTTGGATGGCATTTCCAACAGTGGGGCCCGGTGAGCCCCATGCTCACTCCTGTCTGGGAAATGCCGGGTCAAAGGGACGGGGTTATAAAGACAGTCTGTGGGTGTGGCATGGAGCAAAGCCAGCAGTCTCACTTTGGGACTTGAGCCCACTACTAACTCTTACGAAAGTCCTTGAACCAACTCAGAAGGAGCATTTGGCCAAGTAGCCAGGGATCTGAGTACTGGTGCAGATCCTATCAGTTATTTGACCTTCCCAGTTATCCCCCTGTTGAATGGCCATGGATCCCTACCCTGTCTACCTCCTCCGAGTCTATCAAGTGAAATCATGTGATGTGAGAGCGCTCTGAAAAACGTATGGTGGTATCACTAGAGAACTCTTATCATCGTGGAGAGGGTTGACTTCTTGCTCGGTATGATTAAGAAGACATTTGGGGCCCAGGGCCATTTTCTCTGAGGCACCTTAAGGCTCTGTTTTCTTTTATCGTCAACAGGTTAGCGGGATTGTCCACATGAACAAGGTGTTCTACGTGACAGGATGGAGTAAGAGAATCACTTGTTTCACGTGAGTGGCAAGGGTGTGTGTGGGGAGCTAAGGGCGGCTGACGGTTCTCTCTGCTTCGGGTGGGTTCCCCTATTCCTAGCTTCACTCGCTTTGGAAGTCAAGCAAGAAATTCATGGTGGGTAATGTCCCTTGCTTCATTTGTTCATCCATCCGTTTGTCCACCGTTCCTTGAGTATAACATGTCCTAGGCTTTGTGCTACATGCTGGGGGTGGGTATAAGCAAGAATGTGTCCCCATCTTCCTAGAGGGAGGCAGATGCTAACCAAATAACTTCATTTATAATGGTAAAGTCTGTTGAGTGCTGTGGGCAGGAAGAAGTACCGGTTTGGTTTTTTTTAATATTTATTTTTGAGAGAGAGAAAGGCAGAGTGAGTAGGGGAGGGGCAGAGAGAGGGGAACAGAGGTTCTGAAGCGGGCTCCTTGCTGACAGCACAGAGCCTGATGTGGGGCTTGGACTCACAAACCGCGAGATCGTGAGCTGAGCTGAAGTCGGACACTTAACCAACTGAGCCACCCAGGCACCCCAAAAGTATAGGTTTCTATGGGAAGGGAAGGGAAATCGGATTTAGTCTCAGGGGCAGTCAGGAAACGCTCATCTGAAGCTGTTGTGGGTGGAGTGGGATCTTCTCAATGAAGCAGCAAGGGACTTGGGGTGGGAGGAACATTCCAGGCAGAGGGAACAGAATGTGCAAGTCCTCTTCCTCTTCAGGGGGCCTTTCCAGGGCCATGGCTTCCCTGCTTTAATCCTTACTCAGCTGTCTGAATGGGATGAATCTGTAAGATTGGTTGATGTCAAGCCCCTAGGACAGGGCCTTTGTAGTAGACACATGGTAGCTGCTTAGTGAATGAGGTCAGCGGGGCAGAGCTTCCACCTGAGTGTCCTCTTCTGAGTCGCCTCCCGGAATCTAAAGGCCTCGGTGATCCCCCGACCTGGTGTGGCACTAAGGCCAAGCGCTCTGCCCTCCCGCCTCTGGCCCTGTGTGCAGGCTCCACGAGACCAAGCCGATGCTTCGGTGCCACCACTGGCAGAACTTCCACAAGGAAGATGTCCTGAGCATGGCCAAGTACCAGAACCAGTTCCTCGGGACCTCCTCCTACAACGGGGACGTCCTCCTCTGGAACGCCAACCTGTTCAAGCCCATCCTCAATTTCAACGCCTCTAAGAGCCCCTTGCCTTTGCTGCCCAAGAAGGTATGGTCAACAGGGGGCACCCCCCACTCTTTCTCAGCGGTGGGCCAGAGTCAGCTGTAGGGCCCGGGGGGGGGGGGTAGGAAGGACCCCCAGGAAGGAGAAGGGATGGGATGACTTCTTTTGGAGGAGGTTGGGAGCTGGGTAAGTGGGTGCTAGTTTCTATAATTATCCTCATTTGACAGACAAGGAAAGTGAGGCACAGAGAGGTTAAGCATCTTGGCTGAGGTTGCACAGCCAAGAAGGGATAGGTCTGGACCCAGGTAGTCTGACTGCAGAGCCTGTGGACTGCTGGTCCTGTTCTGTCTAGTAGATGACTCTCTTCTTGAAGGCGGCTCACATCTTACCCATCACTATTACGCATTACCACTCTGGGCTCACCGGGCTCATGGTAGGGACTTAGGAAACCCACACCATCTCAGGATTACCTTATCTTTGCAGATCAAAGCTACAAGGGGACTTTGGGGTCACCTCATCCAAGAATTTTCCAAACATGCCATGGAGAAATTCTCTGAGGCTACTGCAGTGGCTCCTAAAGCAGTTCAGCTTTTTATCTATTTTACACGTTGGAGCTTCCCTTAAGATTAAAAAAACCCTCCAAAATATTTGGAGTCCACTGTCCATTTTACAGATGGGGAGACTGAGTCCCTCACGGGAGCAGTCTCCTGCCTGTGGGTACTCAGGGCATTCGCGGTTGGCCCAGGGACAGGGTTATAAGCTCTGGTTTGATGCCCCTAAGGGTACTCGGTTTCTAGGGAGCAGGCCCTGGGTGCCTGGAGGGCCCTGCGATGTTAGCATTAGGCCCAGGAAGCCCTGCATTTCCCTCTGGGACACTGCAGCACTCCGAGGGCGGTTGTCTCCCTGGCACAGATCCAAGAAGTGAACGACTCCCCGGCAGAGGGTTTCAGGTCCAGCAGGACCTATGCGGAGCCCAAGAAGTGGGCACACAAAGCCCCCACACAGCCCCCGGACCCCAGGGCCAAGACTGCGGCCAACGCCCACCTACAGCGGAATGTGATGTCAGCTCCCCCAGTGATGAAACGCCCCAGAGACAGGGAGCCAGAGAGGCCCGTGCCCCCGCAGGTAGGAGCGGGAGCCGAACCAGGTGGCTTCGCTGTGTGTGTGTGTTTTCTTACATGGAGGCACTTTTTCCAGAGCCCCTTTAGGTAACCTCGGCTCCTTCTGAGCACTGCAGCCAGGCGGGCCACCTCCCTGGTTAGGTTCACTTCATCCATCTCCCTCTGCTGCCTCCAGCCTGGGCACGGTCCCTTCCCAGAGCATGGCCAATACCGGACCCCAGCGTCTACAAGCTTGGGGGCAGGACCTGGAGGCAAGACAATCCAGGGAACCTAGAGTCACAGGCTCGATCCTGGGCTACTTTCTCGGTCCTCCAGCGTGTGTGTCCTGCAGAGATGAGCCACTGGGGCCCACCAGCCTCCCCGCCCAAGCCTCATCTCCCTGGAGACCAAGCTCCAGAGGCCTGAGGCCTCAGCAGAGGCAGACTCAGCAGAGGCAGAGGAGACTGAGCCCTCCTCTCTGCTCCAGGATTCACCCTCCCAGGCTTGACTGATGCTCTCATTTTGGGGGAGTAAGGAGATGGAGCAGGGTGGTTTGGCCTCCGACTCTCAGCGGTGGATACGGTATCTCTCGTGTGGGTCTGGGGTCAGAATACTTCAGCGATTGAAGTCTGATTCCTGTTCCTGGGAACTGAGGCTTGAGAGAGAAGCTCCACCTTAGAGACAGGCTCCACGCGATGCCTGTCCGGCGTAAGCAGTGCAGACCTAGATCCCACGTGGCCCGCTTTGCTGTAAGACGCACGCACTGTGCGTTCCTACAGGGACGCTCGGACCACCTCTGGAGTGTCAGGGTTGTGCCACCGCATGCACACTTTCCAGAACCATGAGTATGCGCTCCCCAGTCCTCCCCTTTGGCCAGGGTATCTCTTCCAGGACAAGGAGAGGGTTTCCCCAAGGGCAGACTGAAGTCTCTGCCCCGACAGAGGAAGCTCCTGGTTACTCAAAATGGAGACTCCCCAGCATGGGCGTGTCTTTATTGCAGGATCCATTAGACACCTGGCTGTCCCTTTCACAGGTCGGTGTGTTTACTGACGGGGGGCTGGGGTGCTCGTTCTTTCAGCATCTGCCTCTGGTCTCCCCCCGCCGCCCCCGCCGCCCCTATGATGACCTGGGAGGCCCATTTTGCTTTCCAGAAACCTCTCAGTGCTGAAAGCCCTAAGCCGTTTAGAATACCCTATGGCAGACAGTCAGTTCTCAGAGATGCTCAAAGGAGAGGAGGGGAGTTCCAGAAGAAGGTTCTGCTGCAATCCAATGCATCGGTGGAGAAGGTGGGCCATGCTCAGGCAGGGTCTGGGGTATGAGCTGGGGTTGGGGGGTGGGTGGGTCTGGGATCAATCAGGATGGGTTGGAAGGGGAGGGCCTATGAGCCTAAGGGGCCAACCTGGTTCTCCCCGGGACCTGGAGGTGAAGGTACCACTCAGGACTCTGGCTTCAGGGCCACTGTGTCTGGGGGAGGCTCCTTGAGTATATGCGTGGAGGAGGGTGCAGGGTCCCCCCCCCCCGCGCCCGGTTGGTGGGATGGCCTGGGATGTAGGAGAAGCAGCATTGCCAGAAGCCACTGTTAAAATGTCCTCCCGTGCTCTGGGAGGGTGTTTCGTACAATATATGAGTGGGGCTTGGGTCATCTTTGTTCTTCTTCCTTCTTCCTGCACCTTTCCCCCTTCTGACCCTGGACGCCCCTCACTGTGCCGTCACCACTAGATGAAGTGACCACTCAGGCCCCTTCTAGCTTTGATGTGCAAACATAAGGTAATTTGGAGGCTCTCCGGGTTTCCTAAGACCCTACCAGGGGCCCAGTGAAAACCCAAATCATAGTTGTGTTAAGGTGTGGCAGCACCGTCCCCTTCCCCAGCTCCAGGGCGCCAGGGACTTGGGAATAGGGGGGCAGTGCCGCCAGGGCTGGGTCCTGCGGTGGCGGAGTGGAGAGCTGCGAGCAGCAGTCTCTCCTCCACGTTGCAAATGTGCTTTCCCCTCTTTTAAAAAAAGTGCCTTAGGGGCACCTGCCTGGCTTAGAGCATGCGACTCGTGATCTTGGGGTTGTGAGTTCGAGCCCCACGTTGGGTGTAGAGATTACTTTTCAAAAAGCTTTTTTTAAAAAACCTTTTAAAAGTAGCGATTCTAGTTGGTTAAAAAAAAAAAAAAAAAAGAGGCAGCAGCCGCACAGTACCCAATAGTAGCAGCCCTAGTCACCGCTCGAATTGGTAGATTGGTTTAGCCTTCCTCTTTTTTTTTCCTTCTTCTTCAGTGTTAAATTTGTCTACATGCTCACATCCTTTTTATTTTTAGACCAGTGATGTAAAATTATAGCTATGTCCTGCCATTTGCTTTTTAAAAATTTAACTACATGCCATGGATATGTTTCTGTATCAGTAATTTAGATCCAGCTTATTCTTTTGTTAACTTATCTTTTTTTTTTTTTTTTTTTTGGTAACAGTTGCATAGTGCCCCATAATTTGCATGTATCACAGACTCTTAAGCCAGCCTTCTCTTGATAGACATGGAGGTTGGTTCCAGTTTTTAACTTTGAGCAGCTCTGCACGGAAAATCCTTGTGCAGATGCCCCTATGCGCTTGTGCGAGTGCATTGAAAGGGTGGATTCCTGGAACCAGGGTTGCTCAAAAGATCCCATCCCTTTCAGCCTCTGAGTCTGACCGAAGTAGATGACTCAAAGCCCAACCTTTGACTGTGACCTGGTCCCATCAGGGCCCAGACCGTTATTCATTGAGTGTTTTCCATGTGCCAGGCCCTGGGCAGGCAGCAGTGAATAACAACAGAAACAAACACCTGTGCCCTCATGGAACTGACATTGTAGTGGGGTGAGACAGACGATTAACTAGCTAGTAAAATAAATGGTAGGTCACAGGGTGAGCAAGTGCAGCAGAGAACCCAGAAAACCAAGGCGAGGGTAGGGGGTGGCATGGGAGATAGAGAGGGCATAGCTATTTACATAGGGGGATCAGGGAAGGCTTCACAGAGGAGGGGACATTTTCACAGAGCTTGAAGCCTGCTGTCATTTGGAAGGATGGTGACCCTGCCAGAGGGAGCAGCAGGCACAAAGGCCCTCACAGAAGAGCTTATTTGGAATGTTCAAGAAAGAGCGCTTCTCTCTCTCTAATTAGGAAGTGGTACATGTCCTTCATTTAAAATGAAAAATTCAAGGGGCGCCTGGGTGGCTCAGTCGGTTAAGCGTCCGACTTCAGCCAGGTCACGATCTCGCGGTCCGGGAGTTCGAGCCCCGCGTCGGGCTCTGGGCTGATGGCTCAGAGCCTGGAGCCTGTTTCCGATTCTGTGTCTCCCTCTCTCTCTGCCCCTCCCCCGTTCATGCTCTGTCTCTCTCTGCCCCAAAAATAAATAAACGTTGAAAAAAAAATTAAAAAAAAAAAAAATAAGAGGCTCTTCTGGTTTGCCTCCCTCCCTCTCTGTCTGTAACTATTTTTTCCCTTCCCCTCCCCGGTCTTCTGTTAAGTTTCTCAAGATCCACATATGAGTGAAAACATATGATATCTGTCTTTCTCTGACTGACTTACTTCATTTAGCATAATACCTTCCAGTTGCATCCATGTTGCTGCAAATGGCAGGATTTCATTCTTTCTCATTGTCAAGTAGTGTTCCATTGTACATATAAACCACATCTTCTTTATCCATTCGTCAGTTGATGGACATTTAGGCTCTTTCCATAATTTGGCTATGGTTGAAAGTACTGCTATAAACATTGGGGTACACGTGTCCTTGTGCATCAGCACTCCTGTATCCCTTGGGTAAATTCCTAGCAGTGCTATTCCTGGGTCGTAGGGTAGTTCTATTTTTAAGTTTTTGAGGAATCTCCACACTGTTTCCCAGAGCGGCTGCACCAGTTTGCATTCTCACCAACAGTGCAAGAGGCTTCCCATTTCTCCACGTCCTCGCCAGCATCTATAGTTTCCTGATGCTGACTCTCCTTCCTGGCTTCCAAATACTCTGTCTTCCACCCCCATTGTTTCCTAAGCAGCAAAGTCCTTTCCCTCTGGGTTACTGGGTGGTAGACCGTGGAACTTCTCAGGATGCTGTCCTGGAGAGGGTCCGGAGCTCCTAGGTCACCCTCAGTCCCAGCCTTTCCTTAGTGGATGAGAGAGAGGGTGGACTGGGGCAAGGACTCCTGGGGGAGTCTTACCTGTCAGGTCTCCTTTGCCACTGTTTCTGTCTGGCCATGTCCGAAGACTGTGGGGTATGGCAGATAAGGGCACGTGGAAGGAGACAGGAAATAGATCCAGGCACAGCCGTGTCTCTTACCATCTGTGGATGAACCCAAGTCCTTGGCCCTTTCCTTAGTGGTAAAGGACCAGATAGGTGGGGAGTGGCAAATCCCTCTGAAAGACATGGGTAGCTTCAGCTTCTTCTGAAGGGGTCTCCGGGCAGACCTTTAGTCCCCCTGCACTTGAGAGCTCTCTGAGACCACTGGGTGGAGTGAGACTAGAATGTCCAACCTCAGTCCGGAAGCTCTTTCCAAAGGGGGCAGGAGACTATCTTTGAGGCTTCAGGGGCCAGGTGCAGAGTGCAAAAGGCATAGTGTTGGTTACCTGCCTTCCAACCACACGGATCCCGCTCCATCCTGTCCAGGGTGGGGTATCCTACTGTGCCCCTCTTCACTGTGCCCACTCCTGATCACTGGCCGCACAGCCCCGACTGTGTGCTCTCACAGGCCCACGGCCCTCTCTGAGCCTGCAAAGGTCCCTCCCCATCACGCGCCTTCAGCCTGCCCATTCAAGCTGTCCCAGGGCTGGTGCAGAAAGGATTGGGAAGGAAGCTTCAGTTTTCCCCAGTTCAGAAATGGGAGATCTTTGTGGCACATCATTTTGGTGAATACTGTGTAGCTAAGAGGAGTCACATTTTAAGAGAATACTTGATCTAGAGTATGACAAAATTTACTTTAACAGTGATAATGACAATGATAAAAAAATTAAGTGTGCATCTTTGAGATTTTTAAAAAATGTTTGTTTATATATTTATTGTATTTATTTATTTAGAGAGAGTGTGCACAAGCAGGGAAGGGGCAGAGAGAGAGGGAAACACAGAATCTGAAATAGGCCCCAGGCTCTGAGCTGTCAGAAGCTGTCAGCAGAGAGCCTGACACAGAGCTCAAACAAACTGTGAGATTGTGACCTGAGCCGAAGTCGGACACTTAACTGAGCCACCCAAGCACTCCAAGATTTATTTTTATATGCCTATATCTCGATCTATTGATAGATCTATCCTGCTATAGATACACACACACACACACACACACACACACACACACACACAGAGGTATAGTGCAAGCGGGGGATGGGCAGAGAAAGGGGGAAACATAATCCCAAGCAGACTCCACATTGTCAGCGTAAAGCCCGATCTGGGGCTCGAACACACGAACCGCGAGATCATGACCTGAGCTGAAATCAAGAGTTGAACGCTTAACCGACTGAGCCAAACAGCGCCCCCTGGTTTTGTTTTTCTTAAACAAGACTGGGAGCATTTGAGACTGTAGTTCAGCTGTTGGATTTTTTTTTTTTTTTAATCTAACAATGTAGAGAGGACAACCTTTGCTGTCAATACATATAAATCCATCTACTTCATTCTTGTTAATGGCTTCATAGAGAAGGCCAATCTATGCTTTTTTGAGCCTAAAACTTACACAATTTGGTTGGCACATTTATGGAAAATAACACAAAATTATGAATAAAAAATGAGATACAAAAGGGAAAATTTACTTAAAATGAGAAAAGAAATGACAAATTTTCTTTTTTTGAGAGGCCACACTTTGAATACTTTTATTTCCTTCTTTACCCTATGTCCTCCCTCCTCCAGTCTGGAAATACAGCAGCAGGGAGCTGTGATAAGATTTTTAAAATTTACTCTCAAGTTCATGAAACTCTGAAATATTTACATCATTTAGTCATTTATAGATTTGTGTATGTAAAGTATTTCAGAGGAGATACTTTTTAAAAAATTATTCCTAGAACTATTGTTGTTATTATTATTATTATTATTATTATTATTATTATTTCTTGATATAGAGATCAATGTGGTTACATTTTATTTAGAAATTTTTCTTTCTTTCTTTCTTTGAATCTAAGTTAGTTAACATATATTGTAATAATGATTTCAAGAATAGAATTTAGCAATTCATGGGGCACCTGGGTTGCTCAGTTGATTAAGAGTCCAGCTTCAGCTCAGGTCATGATCTCACGGCTTGTGAGTTCGAGGCGCACATGGGGCTCTGTGCTGACAGCTCAGAGCCTGGAGCCTGCTTTAGATTCTGTGTCTCCCTCTGTTTCTGCCCCTCCCCCACTCGTGCTCTGTTTCTCTCTCTCTCAAAAATAAACATTAACAAAAAAACAAATACCTTAAAAAAATTTAGTGATTCGTCAACACCTGTTGTTGCCCGAGTTGTTAATGTGAGCCATTCTGACAGGTGTGAGGTGGTATCTCACTGGTTTTGATTTGTATTTCCCTGATGATGAGTGATGTGGAACATTTTTTTCATGTGTCTGTTAGCCATCTGGATGAGAAAGGACAATAAATTTTAAAACTTACAGCTGACAATTATAAGTCTCCACAAGTTGCTAATTCTTCCCAGGACCTTGGAAGGGCCTTGAACTTGACCTCGAACTTTGCCTTAAGCTTTATGAACTTCACTGGTAAATCTGCCCCTGGCTGCGGTATATTTCTTTGGATTCACTATAATTTAATGAATGCCCAGTTGATTAGACATTTAAGTTGTTCCTAGTTTTTTGCTATTATAAACAAAGGTGTGATTGAAATCCTTATAGATTTATCTGTGCAGTTATGCTATATTTTCCATAAGTATGATTGATGGCTCACCAAGTGAGCACAGTTTACATTTCAATGGATGAAGCCATTTGCTCTCCAAGAAGACTTCCCTCCAACAGTGTGAGTCTGCCTTTGTTCTTACACTAAGCCAGGAATGGATATTAGCCTTTTCTTAATTCCTGCCAGTCTGGCGGGTGGAAATTAAAAAAAAAAAAAAAGTTCTTTTGATTATTCGTAATATTGAGCTTTCTATATGTTTGCTAGACATTTGTATTTCTTCCATGAATTAAACATCCACTTATATCCCTTGTCTATTCTTTTTTGCATTAATTTATTAGAGCTCCTTAGATGTGCTTTGGAAAGTGAATCCTTTGCTGTTGTGTATTGCAGATATTTTCACCTCATCTGTCTTTGTGATATCACACTGAGGTTTTAGTCTTTATCTAGCCATCTTTGTTATTTTCCTTTGTGACAAGAGAGAAAGGCATTGTTTATCCCAAGATCACAGAAAAAATTTGTTATATTTTCTTCTAGACATTTATAATTATATATTTATTTAGTCATCTTCTTGTCCCATCTAAGTAGTTTTGTGTATGGTGTGATATATGAATCTAAAAATGTTTTTCTAAATTGATAGCCAGTTGTTCAAATGCCATTTATTGCGTAGTTTATCTTTTCTCCACTGGCTTGAAATTCTATCATTCTTATATAATATTAGAGTCTTCTATAGTCTATTTCTGGGATCTCTCTTCTTCCATTGGTATTTTCGTCTATTCTTGCATGTATATTTAATAATTAAAAAATATAATGAAAGTCTTTACAGACGATGCATTAGGGGCGCCTGGGTGGCTCAGTCAGTGAAGGGTCCAACTTAGGCTCAGGTCATGATCGCACCGTCCGTGAGTTCAAGCCCCACGTCAGGCTCTGTGCTGACAGCTCAGAGGCTGGAGGCTGCTTCGGATTCTGTGTTTCCCTCTCTCTCTGCCTCTTCCCCACTCATGCTCTCTCTCTCTCTCTCTCTCTCTCTCAAAAAAATCAAATAAAAACATTAAAAAAAGAGACATTGCATTAAAATCTTCATGGTGATTATTTCTGGATATTGGCATTTTGTGAGTGATTTAAGTTTCTTCTCATTTGTGCCGTCCATGTTTTGTACTGCGTGCAAGTACACTTGCATAAAATGGGGGAAATGCTTGTCCTTTGTCTTTGGTTTAGGGACTCCTGGTTCTGTGACCCTGGCATTTGGGCCAACAGGAAGTAGGTTAAGCATTTTGTTTTGGACGTGTGTGACAGTCAGGATATTTCAGAATTTTTGCTGTCGGTGACATGTTTTGGGGACACATAAGCCACCACACTGTAATTTCTGATATAGCAGGAATTCTGATATAGCCTCCAATTTCCCCCGTCTGGTCGGATTCACTCTGCCGCCTGTGCTCTCTGCCTCACGTAGGATGGGGGCCAGGAGAGCCGCTCTCTTCTCATGCCAGCCATGCATGATAGCTGTCCGCCCCCATCACCCCTGCCTGGGCCACAGAGTGACATGTAAGGTGAAAGTGAGCAGAGGGGGGAATTAACAAAAGGCATGATCACAACAAGACTTGAGTGAGAATTTGGTTCAGATGCTTTCTTGGCAGTTGGCTGGAAAATATGGCATCTTACCATAGACGTATATGAAGGAGAACGAGTGTGTTCTTCAAATCACTTTGAGTGGAGTTACAGGTCTTAGAAACTCTTCTTTGAGTCTTGGGGTGCATCAGATTTGTATGTCTTTATTCAACGAATCTTCATTGACCATGTAGCATGTGTCAGACACGACTGTAGTTGCTAAAGATAAAAGAGTGAACAAAAAAGACACCAATTCCTCCCCTCAAGGAGCTCATAGTGCAGCCAATATTCGTTACCAGCTACGTAGGAAGAGTGGTGGATCATCACCATCCTCACTGGGCATCTAGGAAATTGGGGGAGCAGGGGCGGGGTGACTTGCCTGAGCCCCTCAGCACCGTGTAACAGTGGCCAGGGTGAGTCCCGGCTCACAGCACTGCTGAGCTGGCCCACCTCTCTCGCACAGATCATCTTCCTGCAGACCAGGCCTCGCCTGCCACTCATAGCCACCCTGCTGAGCAGCTGCGTGGATGGCCACATCTATGCCTGGTCCATCCATGGAGGCGGAGGTCTGCTCGGGAAGTTCCCTGTGGACTTCGAAGACAAGGGGGATGTGGTTGTGGGCGCCATGGCCACTGATGAAAAAGACTTGATCCTCGTCACAGGGGATTGTAAAGGATACATCAAGGTGAGGAGGAACTGGCTTGAGATTGAGGGGGCGGCGTCAGCCAAGCTCCGGCCACCTCTTTGCTAAATGTGGCGCTAGCCTAGTCTCTTCTCCCTCTGGGTACTGGTTTCATTTGTAAAACAGTGGGCAGTAAAAGTCCTCTTCTGCTCTGGTGTGCCCAGGAAATGAGTAAGGACGTGGTTCCAAAAGGCCCTCCAAGAAGCCTCTCCCGGTGGGTCCCCTATTCCATCGTTCTCTTCCTACAACTCCCTCACCCCCCAGCTATGCATCTCTCTATGAACAGGGGTCTCAGCAGCCAACTTCATAATTTATGGTGAGCCACGGGGCAAGAATGTCTTGTCCTTGGGCCAGTCACACCCTCTCTGCCTGCCGGCTAATAGGTCTGGCTTACAAGTTCCCTTGGACCCCTTCTGACCCGAGTGTCTGGGTATCTCAGAGGTGTGAGTGAGAACTGCCCCACTCACACCTCAGAGTGAAGACAAGTAGTTTGGGAGGGGCCCACAGTGTGAGCTGGTGTTGGTGTCAAGGGATGCTGGGCCACTAACCCACATTTTGTGCCTAGATCTGGGACATCAAAGATTATTGCACATTCAGTGACAAGTGTCCACTTCAACCCAATGGAACAAGCAAGTTCCAGTTCTTAATTCCTGAACAGGTCCAGATCAACCTTCCACACTACATCCCCTTGAAGGAGAAGGAGGTAGGAAGACTCTGGGGGAATCTGAACCCCACTAATGATCTGGGGCCATGGCTCTCTTCCTGAGATTCTGAGTCTTTCGTGTTTCTTGTTCAATGTTGTCTGGTTGATGTGGAGACATTTTTGTTAGCCAGAAGTCACCATTAACCAGTCAAACACAAGTATACACACCTGCATACACATGCACATATACACACACACACACACACACACACACACACACACACACCCCATTTCTACGGGCTTTAATCTTTGCGATGAAGGCCCTGGACTCATGAATTCGTTTTAAGATAATGAAAATGTTTATGTATTTTCTTGAGTAGGTAATATATTTACATAGTCAAAAATCACTTGATATTTCCCTAATGACTAATGAAGCTGAGAACCTTTTCCCTAGTTATCAAGAAAATGCAAATTAAAACCACAGTGTGATACCACGACATACCTACCAGGATGACTAAAACGTAAAAGACAGGCAATACCAAATGTTGGCAAGGATGTAGATCAACTGGAATTTCCATTGCTGGCAGGAATGTAGATTGGTGTAATCACTTTGGGGAACTGTTTGGTAGTTTCCACTAGAACTGAATATGTGTCTACACTATGATCCAGCAATTCCACTGCTAGGTTTATATCCAAGAGAAGCCTGTGCTCTAAAAGATAATGAATAAGAACATTGATATAATTACCATTTGCAATAACTCCGCATTTGAAACAACCCAAATGCCCATCAGTGTAGACTGAAATATAAATTGTGCTATACACACCATATAGAATAATACCCAGCATTAGAAATGGATGGTTTGCAACTATTCATTACAAAATGGGTAATTATTTGAAAAAAGTAGGTTAAAGAAGTCATACATGAAAGAGTATATATTGTAAGTTTTATAGTTCGATCTATATAAAGTACGAAAACAGACAAAACAAACATACCCTATTAGAAGTGATTATCTTTGTGTGGGCATGGATTGGTCAGAAGGAGCCATGAGGGGGACTTCTGGTGGATGGACAATGTTCTGTTTCATAATCTGGGTCTGGTCATACAGCTGTGTTCAGTTTGTGAAAGTTTATTTGTTACATTTATGATATGTACACTTTTCTATATGTATGTTATACACTAGCGAAGATTTTAAAAACTCAGGGTGGCAAAAGGCCTGTAGTAAGGACTTTTAGTCCTACACCTATTCCCCACTGCCCAAAACCAAGAAAAACTTCTTGTTCCACTTCTGCTGATTTTTGGTTATTCTTCCAGTGTTTATTTATGCAAACAGAAATGTGTAAAGATCTCTCCTTGTTTTTACATGAAGGTAGCATGTCATACACACTGGTGCTCACCTTGTTTTTCTTATTCCATAATATATCTTGGAGATCTTTGCATATGAGTACATATGCATGTTATTGATATAATTCCCTTTGAAGGGAAATTGAGGTTGTTTTCAATCTTTTGTTCTTAACAAAAGTGAAGAGTGAATGTTGTTTCATATGTGTGAAAAATATGCCTGAAGGATAAATTCCTGGAAGTGGGACTTCTAGATTAAAGGGTTGTATGCATTTGCAGTTCTGATAGCCATCTTGCAGTCTTAGGTGCTTTTTGAATCTCTGCACAAAGATATTATGTCTAGTCTGGTTTTAGTAAGAAGAAAATGTCACTGCATTCAAATCTGTTGGGAGTAAGTCACCCATGGGTTCACTATATGAGGAATCTGTAATGTTAATATAATCGTTATATTAACAACAATGCGTGTCATTTATTTACTGCTTAATGTGTTTCAAGAATTGTGATAAGTGCTTTTATGTGTTCTCTCACTGATTCTCCATAATTGCTCTGGGAGAGAGATGTTACTTTTCAGATGAGAAAGATAAAACTGTAGAGCTGGAGGGACCTAAGTTCACACAACTGCCAGTGTTGGACCTAGGCATAAACTCAAGTCTGACTCCAGACTCTGTGCTCCTGACCATCTGCACTTAGTGTTATAATGATATAGTTTAAACAAATTGGGATTATACTGTATGTAACTAGAATTTTCTATATTATCAAACATTCTTGAAAATCAGACTTTCTAATGATGAAGTAATATTTCACTGTATAGAGGTATAATCATTTATTTAACTTATTGTCAGACATTAGAACAGTTTTTAATTTTTCATTATCAAAAAATGATAGAAAATGGATAAATTCTTAGATATGAACTACCAGAATGGGCTCAAAATGAAATAGAAAATTTAAAGAAATAGAAAACTTGAATATCACAAGAGATCGAACTAGTAATAAAACTTCCCACAAAGAAAAGCCCAGGTACAGATGACTTTACTGGTGAACTCTACCAAATAATTAAAGAAGAATTAATGTCAATTCTTCAAGGAATTCTTGCCAAAGAGTTTTCTGTGAGGCCCCTGTTACCTTGATAACCTAACCAGACAAGGACATCACAAGAAAATAAAACTATAGGCCAATATCTCTTATGAATACAGATGCAAATGCCACCAATAAAACACTAGCAAATTGAATCCAGCAACATATGAAAAGGATTACACATCATGACCAAGTGAGGCTTATCCCAGGAATGCAAGGTTGGTTTAATATCCAAAATCAATTAATGTAATACACCATATTAAGTGAATAAAGAACAAAAGACACATAATCATCTCAATAAATACAGAAACAGCATTTGACAAAATCCAACACCCTTTCCTGATAAAAGCGCTCAATTAACAAGGAGTAGAAGGGAACTTCCTCAACTACTAATGTTTTACTGGAAGGGCAAGTAGGCAAGAAAATGAAATAAAAGGCATCCAGCTTATAATAGCATCAAAAAGAATAAAATATTTAGGAATGAATTTACAAAAGTAGTACAAAACTTGTACTATTAAAACTACAAAACACGGGGCGCCTGGGTGGCGCAGTCGGTTGAGCATCCGACTTCAGCCAGGTCATGATCTCGCGGTCCGGGAGTTCGAGCCCCGCGTCGGGCTCTGGGCTGATGGCTCAGAGCCTGGAGCCTGTTTCTGATTCTGTGTCTCCCTCTCTCTCTGCCCCTCCCCCCGTTCATGCTCTGTCTCTCTCTGTCCCAAAAATAAATAAACGTTGAAAAAAAAATTTAAAATAAATAAATAAATAAATAAAACTACAAAACACTGTTGAAAGAAATCGAAGACAACCTAAATAAATGGAAAGATATCCCATGTTCATGGATTGGAAGATTTAATCTTGTTAATATAACAATATTTTCCAAATTAATTCAGTGTAATCTATCAATCCCCACTCCTTATTCTGCAGAATTGACAAGCTGATCCTAAAATTCATACAGAAATGCAAATGTCCTAGAATAGTCCAAAAATCTTGAAAAAAGCCAGAGTTGGAAAACACATTTCCCAATTTCAAAACTTACTGCAAAGCTACAGTGAAAATAGTGTGGTGCTAGCATTAGTATAGACATATAGGTCAATAAAATAGAATTAAGAGTGGAAAAATAAACTGTCAAATTTCTGATCAATTTATTTTTGACAGAGGTACCAAAACAATCAAATGGAGGAAAGAATAATTGTTTAAATGTTTTTAAATCTATTTTTGAGAGAGAGAGAGAGAGAGAGAGAGAGAGAGAGAGAGAGAGAAAGCAGGGGAGGAGCAAAGAGAGAGGGAGACAGGAGACAAAATCACAGACAGGCTCCATGCTGTCAGTGCAGGGCCTGATGTGGGGCTCAAATTCACAAACAGTGAGATCATGACCTGAGCTACAATCAAGAGTTGGATGCTTAACCGACTGAGCCACCCAGGGGCCCCAGAAAGAATAATCTTTTTAAACAAATGGTGCTGGGAAAACCGGATATCCACAGCAAAGAATGAACACACAACATAAAGGAAAACATATTTTACTTCATAAATTAACTTTCAGTGGTCATGGACCTAAATGGAAGAGTTAAAATTAAAAGACTCTTAGAAGAAAGCATAGGGAGATATCTGCATGACTTTGGGTTAGGCAATATATTTTTTAATTTTTTTAATGTTTATTTGAGAGAGAGAGGGAGAGAGAGAGAGCAGAGGAGAAGCAGAGAGAGAAGGAGACACAGAATTCGAAGTGGGCTGCAGCTTCTGAGCTGTCAGCACAGAGCCCAATGTGGGGCTGGGAGAGCCATGAGATCATGACCTGAGGCTAAGTCAGAGGCTTAACTGACTGAGCCACCCAGGCGCAAGGGTTAGGCAATATTTCTTTTTTTTTTTAATTTTTTTAACTTTTATTTTATTTTTGAGACAGAGAGAGACAGCATGAACGGGGGAGGGCCAGAGAGAGAGGGAGACACAGAATCTGAAACAGGCTCCAGTCTCTGAGCTGTCAGCACAGAGCCTGACGCGGGGCTCAAACTCACGGACCTCGAGATCGTGACCTGGCTGAAGTCGGACGCTTAACCGACTGCGCCACCCAGGCGCCCCTATACGAGTGTTTATAGCAACATTATTTACAATAGCCTAGAAGTGAAAACAACCCAAATGTCCACAACTGTTGAACAGATACATAAAGGAATGATGTGCTGATCCACGCTACAACATGATGTATCTTGAAAACATTATGCTAAGTGAAAGGAGCCAGTCATAAAAGACCACATATTGCATGATTCCATTTATACCAACTGTGGAGTGATGGAATGGTCTAAAATTGAACGTGATGGTGGTTGCAAACTCTGTGAATATACTAAAAATGACTGAAGCGAGCACTTCAAATGGGTGAATTGTGAATTATATCTCAATAAAACTGTGTTTAAAAGGTAGAAAAATGGTAGAACAATTTTTCCTTTTCACAAATCTTTTTTTGTTTATTTGTAGTTGTTCGTGCATCTGGTAATTTATCTCCTGGAAATAATATGGGGAGAAAGCATAAATCTTTCCAAGGCTTTTAATGTGTACCGCCAAACTACACTCCAGAAAGTTTATGGAGTTTTGCACATTATTAGCCTATTCTGCTTTATCCTTGCCAACATAAAGTATTTATTATTAGCGGTATTCATCCGAGTGAGCGTTCCCTGGGTCTATCAGAGTGCCTCGCTTAGAGAAGGCATTCAATAAATAAATGTTCGAAGTGAAACAAACCTTTGGCTGATTTTTAGATACAAATGGTTTCCTTTGATTTTAATGAAGCTATCTTTGCTTATTAGTGATGTTGACATCTTTCCTTATTTTATTGGCCATGTATAGTTTTGGGAATTGTCTGTTCACATCCTTTGTCCGTTTTTCTTGTCCTAGCCTCACCACTATGTGGCTCTGGGTTCAGTTCTCTCCTCTACGAAATGGTGAGACTCATACACATCCTGTAAGGTTGTTATGACATTCAAATGGAATAATCTGTATAGACACATCTGGTAAACAATATAGCAATATGCGAATGCTTTTTTATGATTTTACCAAAGGGACCAGTGAGGGCCAGAAAACTACCAGGATTTACCTGAAGTCACCAGAAAGCTAATGTGGGAACATGTCTAGAACTAGGACCCTGGGACGTGGGCCATGGGACCGTGTCCCAGGATCCTTCCAGAGGGCTCTGCTGCCTCCAGTGTCATGTGCCCTCTGGTGAACCTGTGTCTTGGGATAAGTAGTTCTCCTTTGTTGTCCCCTGTAGGTTGTGGCTGGCCAGACCATTTCCTTGGTTCCTCCCAAGCTTCTGAATACCTGGAAGGACCATTTGGACAGTGTGGCAGACATCCTGTATGTAGATACCTTCCAGCTGGTTATCAGTGCCGGCCAGGACTGTAATGTCAAGGCTCGGAAACTCTCCGGTGACACCGTTGGTATGGGTCCTACTGAAGTTCAGCCGTGCCACATGGCCCATTGTGGTTCTGTCCCTGTTAGAGCATAAACTGGCATAAACCTTATATCCTATGGGGTGGAGTTTCAAGCCATAGCAGCTGCCTTTGCTCAAATAGTATCACAGGATATGTGCCTTTCCAATTGTCCGTTCAGCAGTGTGTCCATTCATCCATCAGCTGTCCATCTAACCCCCCACCCATCCACCCAACATTATTTGCCTGTGTATATTTTTGCAAATCACGTATCTGAGAAGGCACATTCCTTTCTCTTTTTATTTTTTTTTATTTTTATTATTTATTTAAAAAAAAATTTTTTTTTTCAACGTTTATTATTTTTGGGACAGAGAGAGACAGAGCATGAACGGGGGAGGAGCAGAGAGAGAGGGAGACACAGAATCGGAAACAGGCTCCAGGCTCTGAGCCATCAGCCCAGAGCCCGATGCGGGGCTCGAACTCACGGACCGCGAGATCGTGACCTGGCTGAAGTCGGACGCTTAACCGACTGCGCCACCCAGGCGCCCCTCTCTTTTTAAAAATAAACTTGGGGTGCCTGGGTGGCTCAGTTAGTTAAGTGTCTGGCTCTTGATTTTGGCTCAGGTCCTGATCTCACACTTTGTGAGTTCGAGCCCATGTCGGGCTCTGTGCTGACAGCACAGTCTGCTTGAGATTCTCTCTCTCTACCTCTCCTGCACACTCATGTGCACTCTCTCCCTCTCTCTCAAATAATAGAAAAATAAACTTAATTGTTGAGTTATAACCTATATAAGGTAAAGCACACAAACCAAAAGGGTTCAGCTTGATGAATTTTCAGAAAGTATACATATATCCTTATAGCCATCACAGAAAAAGCACCGTATGCTTTCTTACACTTGATACTTGCATGGTCTATGTCTCAGCTCTTCTGCCCTGCCCCCAGCCTTCACTGGACTGCCACTATATACCCTGTGAAGGCCTGAGGGAAAGAGTTGGTGGGTAGCTACAGACTTGCCCTGTGGCTTGAACATCCTGGATTATAGTATGTCATGCCATGTGAGGCTGTTCAAAGTTCACTAAGCACTCATCTGGGCTTATCCTCCTCTCATTACTCTGTCAGGGCTGAAAGCAGCCTTGGTCTCTTGTCTCTTATCAAAGGTTTATTCCTTTCCTCGCATTTTTAGCTCTTATATGGGTAAAAAACTCTTTGATTATTTTTATTTTATTCCTGTCCTTGGATGGAATTCCTCATTTTATAGTTTATATCCTTGAACATATTGCCAATGCTATTTTAAAGTCTTTGATAACTCTAATATCTGGTTCACTTCTGGGTCTGTTTCTATTGCCTATCGTTTCTGTTGGCTCCAGACATGATAGACTAACAAGGACTGGATTTACATTCTCGCTTTAAGCAACTAAAAACATGAACAAAATGTATGTGACAGTTTCCAGACATTAGACAGCAGGCAGCAAAGAATAGTAAGCCCTGAGGTATTATAATTTATACATAATATACTAGTATGTATTGTATATATTTGTAATATTATAAATTACATCTGTATTATATGAAATATAGATATAATATAATATATAATATAAGTAAATCTATAATATTATGAATATACTTCATGTGTTACAAAAGGTAGAAGAAAACATCAAAATGTTAAGGAGAGAACTCGAATATATATATATATATATATATATATATATATATATACACACACACACACACATAAAGACCCAAATTGAAATTAGAAATTAAAAATAACAGTGTCTGAGATAACAATACACTGGATGGGATTAATAGCAAATTAGACACTACAGAAGAAGGGATTAGTGACTATGAAGACATAGTAATAGAAATATAGAAAAAAAAGACTGAGTAAGCTGGTGTTTTATGTGTATAACATGATTTGGTATATGCATACATTGTGAAATAATCACCACAATCAGGATAATTAATACATCTATCACCTCACATAGTATTTGTGCAAGGTAAGAATTCTTAATATCTACTCTCAGCAAATTTAAAGTATACAATATAGTATTGTTAACTATAGTTGCCATGTTATACATTAGATCCCCAGAATTTATTCATCTGACCACTGGAAGTTCATTACATTTGCCAACATGACTTTTCAACCTATCTCTGTCCTTATATTTATATGTGCCTCTTTTAAACAGCATTGTATTTAGTTTTATTTTTTTCATCCTGACAATATTTGCCTTCTAATTGTATATTTAGTCCATTCAAATATTAATGGAATTACTTATATGGTTTCAGTCTATCATCTTGATACTGTTTTTCTATTCTTTGTTCCTTTATTCTTCCTTTTCTTTCTTCTTTTGCATTAATCAAGTATTTAAAAACAATTATCGGGGCACCTGAGTGGCTCAGTCGGTTGAGCATCTGACTTCAGCTCAGGTCATGATCTTGTGGGTCATGAGTTTGAGCCCTGTGTTGGGCTCTGTGCTGACAGCTCAGAGCCTGGAGCCTGCTTGGGATTCCATGTGTATCTCTCTCTTTCCCTCCCCTGCTTGTGCTTTCCTCTCTCAAAGATAAATAAATAAGCTTAAAAAATCAATTATCTTGTTTTATTCCTTTATTAACTTTTTAGTTGTATGCTTTTATATTATTCTTCAGTGTTCTTTAGAGATTCTTTAGAGGTTATAATATACACTCTTGACCTGATACCACTTCTTGTGCAAGAATCTTACTTTCTTGGGGCGCCTGGGTGGCACAGTCGGTTAAGCATCCGACTTCAGCCAGGTCACGATCTCGTGGTCCGGGAGTTTGAGCCCTGCGTCGGGCTCTGGGCTGATGGCTCAGAGCCTGGAGCCTATTTCTGATTCTGTGTCTCCCTCTCTCTCTGCCCCTCCCCCATTCATGCTCTGTCTCTCTCTGTCCCAAAAATAAATAAACGTTGAAAAAAAAAAAAAAGAATCTTACTTTCTTCTCCCCACTGTTTATGCTATCTCTAGCATATATTTTATTTCAAATATGTTATGTCTTCCCACAAGGCACTGTTATTAATGTTACTGTAAGCAGCCTATTTCTTTTTATATTTACCCATATTTACCATTTCTGATGCTCTTTATTCCTTCTTGAAATACTGGGGTTCTGTCTGCTATCATTTTCCTTAAGTTTGAAGAAGTTCCTTTATTATTTCTTATAGAGTCCATCTGTACTGATCCTTAAGCTTTCTGTATCTGAAAACATATTTATTTTGTCTTAAAATGTTAAGACTCTTTTACTGGGCATAGAAATCTCAGCTGGAAGTTAATTTTCTTTCAATATTGAAAAAGAGACTTTTCTATCGTCTTTGGCTTCCATATTTTCTCTCAAAAAGTCAACTGTAGGGGTGCCTGGGTGGCTCAGTCGGTTAAGTGTTCAACTTTGGCTCAGGTCATGATCTTGCAGTCCATGGGTTCAAGCCCTGCGCCGGGCTCTGTGCTGAACTCTTGCTCAGAGCTTGGAGCCTGCTTCAGATTCTGTGTCTCCTCTCTCTGCCCCTCCTCCGCGTGTGCTCTGTCTCACCCTGTCTCTCAAAAATAAATAAATGTAAAAAAAAATTTTTTTAAGTCAACTATAAGTTACTTTGACAGTAATTTTTCTTTTCTCTCTGACTGCTTTTGGTTTTCAACAGTTTGACTATGATGTTCCTAGCTTTTATTTGTATTCATCCCACTTGGAGTTCACTGATCTTTTTAAATCTGGGGGTTGGTATTTTTCACCAGTTTTGAAAAGTTGTCAAATATTATCTCTTCAATACTGCTTTTGTCCATTCTCTCTCTCCTCCCATTATGGAGTTCCAATTTACATGTATGTTAGAACATTTGACTCTGTCCCATATGGCTCTTATGCTCTGTTCTGTTCTTTCTGTTTTTTTGTTTGTTTCTTTTTTGTTTTTGTTTGTTTTTTATCTCTGCCTTCTAGTTTGGATATTTTCTGATGACCTGCCTTCCAATTCGTTAGTCCTGTCTCCTTCTGTATGCAACCTGGTATTAAATCCATTCAGTTAATTCTTAATTTCATATTTTTTTTAGTTCTCGAATACCGATTTGGTTCTTTCCTGTAGAATACAATTCATTGTTGAAATTCTCCTTCTTTCCCTTCATTTTGTTCATATTTTCCTTCATTTTATATAACTATTTGCAATAAAGTTTTATCTGCTAACTCCTGTGTCAGAATTATCTGTGGGTCTATTTCTAATGCCTATTTCTTCTCTTTATTATTGGTTATACTTTTCTGTCTTTTTATATGTTAAATGCATAAAAAACCTACCTCTCCAAAACCCCCCAAAATGAAACAACCCCTCCTCAAACCAAAGCCAAGACTTTTCTAGACTTTGTATAAAAGAACCACAGAGACGGAAGTTGATGGATTTTCCTCCAGCACATGTGCTCGTTGCTCTGTACAAGGCTGCTCATCTCATTGCTGTCAGGAACTGAGCTGGATTGGGTCTGGGTTGCAGCTTTAGGAAGACTTGGTTTTCTTCCATCTTCCATTGTGAAATCGTCTCAAGGGTGAAGTCTGTTGTGTTTTCAAAGGTTTTTTTTCCTCCAGTGGGACTTTGTCTCCCAACAACCTCATTCTATCTGTCTAACCCAAATTCCAGGTCCTCAGCTCCCCTAGTGCTCAGCAAATGTCCTATGGAAAACACGTCTATGCATTTGGGATTTCACTAGACTTGATCCCATTCTGCCAGCCAGAATGGCTGGCAGAAGCTCTGATGGTTTCTTTTGCTTCCAGGAGCTTCCTTCTGCCTAAGCAGAACCTGATTCTCACTCAGCCTGTGCCCAGACTCCCAGAGAAGGAATCAGATCTCAATTTCAGTTCTTCTTGGAAGGACTCTTCCCTTTCTATAATTTTATTTTTTTATTTCTTATTAAACATTTTTAAATGTTTATTTATTTTGAGAGAGAGAGAGCAAGCAGGGAAGGGGCAGAGAGAGAGGGGGGACAGAGGATCTGAAGTGGATTCTGTGCTGACATCAGAGAGCCCAATGCAGGGCTTGAACTCATGAAATGTGAGATCATGACCAGAGCTGAAGTCAAACCCTTAACCAACTGAGCCACTCAGGCACCATCCCCCTTTCTGTAATTTTAGTTAATCTATTTTTTTTTTTTTTGAGAGAGAGAGAGAGAGAGAGAGAGAGAGAGAGAATGTGCACGAGTGGGGGAGGAGCAGAGGAAGAGGGAGAGATGGGATCCCAAGCAGGCTCTGCACCCAGTGCGGAGCCTGACACGGGGCTCAATCTCAAGACTGTGAGATCATGACCTGAGCTGAAATCAAGGTCGGATGTTCATCTGACTGAGCCACCCTGGCACCCCTAGTTCATCTACTCTTTTTTTGCTTCTACAGCTCCCCAAGAGTTTTTAAAATATGACTTTTTAACTATATTTTTTAATTTTTAGAAATTCTGCAGCAGGACAATGGCCTACTACTCACCACGCCCTGCCCCAAAGCAGGACTCATGTTTCTCTGTTCTTACTACCTGCTTTCTCCTCCAGCCTTTCTCCTCTCTAGTGCCACACCAATCTCCTGTCTGGTGGGTGCCTGATCACTTTATGTCATTGCTACTTTACACGTGAGCTGCTTAAGCCCAACTGAACATCACTCAGTCATTGCCATAGAGGTCTTTCCATCTCAGCCTACATGTGGGGCAGGATGTTTTGGCCTGAGCTCCAAGTGTATTGTAGGACTAAGGGTAGTTCCTTCAGGTATTTGTTAAGTAGCCGGCATAATGCCTGGCATGTGGTAAGCATCATGAAGTGTGGGCCAAGGGTAAGGGGTTGCTAGCTGAGTCTTGAGGGTGGAGGGGGAGGGGTAGCAGGTTCAGAGAAAGGGAGGTAGGCCACTTCTTGTGACTGAGTTGGTTCTGGTTAAATCACAGGGACGTTCGGCCTGAGTGTCTGGAAAAGGCTGCGGGATATTCAGATGGTTGGTGATCCTGAACTGAGAAGAAACTCAAAGGAGGAGGATGACACTGTAGTTGCTGCCCAGAAGGCCTTCCATTCAGAGCTGCAGTGAGTTATCACAGCCCAGCTGGTATTTGCTGGCCCAAGGAGGGGGAGGCTGGGAGCCTCCCCAGGTCCCAGGCAGCCTCATCTGGGTTGGGTAGCACTGGGCATATTTGGTAAAGGCCAAAGGTTTGGGACTTGCAGGCAACTTGACTCTACAGGTGGCAGCTATGGCCTAAGAGCCCAGGTCCACTGAAAGTTTGAGTGGTACAAATCAGCAGAAAGTATAGAAAGGCAAGCCGTTAGATGGGCCTCTGCCCCAGAGCCCGGTTCAGATTTGCCAGGGCTGGCTTCCCTGCTGGGGCCATTTCTATGTGGCTAGAGGTCCCTGGTAGGACAGTGCCCAGAGCTCTGGTCCTGAACACACACTTGTGTTATTTCCCTGATCCACAGGAAAGTCAGGCTGCTTGCTGCTTCTTTCCTCTACAGGTTCCTTCTCCACCCATGTTCCACTCTTATTCCTGACCAAGTCTCAGATAATTTGGGGTCATCCCCAAAAAATATTTATCAAGGTCCTGCTGACTCCCAGACTCTGTGCTAGGTTCTAGAGGTCCAGATACAAGTCCTGCCTCAGAGAACTCAGAGTCCACTTGGGGAGATTGGCATGCAAACTCATGGTTGTTGTTTTATCTGATAAGTGGTGAGACTATTAAGAATAGGAATGGCTCAGAGGACAATCACCTCATTGGGTGGATCAAGTAAAAGAGAAGCTTCATAAGAGAAGAGATTCTGGAATTGGGTTTTGATATGTCAGTAGGAGTTTTCCAGGCACCCGTACAGTCCTTGTGGCTCCTAGTCTCTTGTCAAGGCATACCTCTTTACGGTCCTATGTGGGGTTATCAAACAAGGTAGAGGTAGGGTTTCCCTGGAAGGGAGAGGATGTTTAAATATTCCACATTTGGGGGGACCAGGTAAGGTCAAGATGGGGTATTAGACCTCCATGGGAAGAGCTCAGGGTGCTAGGAAAGGTCTCAGGACTTGTTGGGGGTATGTTTAATCTAGTCTTTGCTGATGTTAATTGGACACCTGTTTAGTGTTGGTCCTGGGCAGTATGACCTCAGGAGAGGGATAAGAAGGTAGAAGAGGATCGGGCCCAGGTGGGAGAAACCCGTTGTGCTCCCCGGGAAGGCTGCTTGTGGTGTGAGGGCATCTTATGAAGGAAAGCGCCTTCCATCAGGGAGGAGCGGGCTCTGGCCGAGGCCCTGGTGTACCAGCGGCAGGAGGAGGCGGCACTCGTGGCTCTCCTGAATGGGAAGCCAGACACGGAGGCTGAAGCTTGGGCCAACCTGCAGAAGATAACCCAGACGTCCCCGTGGGCTGGAGAGCGCTCCCAGGAAGACGTTGAGAGCAGCTGGTGCAAGTGGGAGTCCAAGGGCAAGCAGGTGAGGCTGGGTGGGGGACACGGGGACACGGGGGCATAGAGGGGCCCTCAGCTGTCAGCCCTGAGGCCTCACTCTTGCCCGTGACTCCTGCAGGAGAGCAAAGTTGTGGGAGCCGCGTACAAGCCTAAGGACCGGTCACGGAGTCCTGGACTCCGGTCCACCAACGTGCAGTATGGCTGGATGAAGTACCAGGTGAGGCAGGGTGGGGCTTGCTCCCTGAGATGCTGGAGGCTGGGGATCCCAGCTCCATTAGCAGCCTCCCTTGAGCCCACAGGGCCCTCTCGTGGGGGCGAGGGAAGCACCAGCCCTTTAACAGAATTCTGGGATGAAGCTGGTTGGGTTGATTTGTTTGCAAAGGCCCTGGCCAAGGCCATGGACACAGGTTGTCTTTGAGGACACACCTCATCGGGCCTATGGGAGGAGGTTCTCTGTGGACCTGGGACTTTGATAGCCTTCAAAGAATTTCCCAAAGTCTGTGGCTGTGCGTTTGGTTGGTTGTTAGTCTCCGTACTGTGGGCTACTCTAGAGCAGACACGGGGTCTCCCAGTGCCATGTGAGAGACACAGGGAAGGAATGGGGGGGCTCTGCTTGGGGAAAGAAAGAAAGAGCTGGGGACTTTGCAAGACAGCTTTGAGCCCCATCTAAGCAAGCCTCTTGCTTGGGCAGACTCCAGCCTCTTTCAGAGGCATCTGCCATAGGGGCATTTATGAGAACTTCCTCCCTCTGTGATGGGCACCAAGTGAAGTGAGAGAACCCCTCTGTCCCGGGCTGGGAGAGGTCAGTGCGAAGGGAGGCCATATCCCTGCCTTCTGGAGATGGGCCTCAAAGCGCAGCTTGGTGAGTGCTGACAGGAGAGGTGGGAGCTTGTCTGGGGGGCTCCTCCCATCTGAGCCTCAATCAGGCCCAGCTTGAGGCCTCATTCTAAGATGGGGACGGTCCAGTGCTGACCTCAAAGCGTTGTTGCCAACCCCAGGAGAAGGGCTGGCTGCCGGGCCTGGAGCACAGTGGGCTTGCAGTTCCGGAAGGCTGTGGACCTCAGTGACAACCACGGTACTCTGGAGACTTGGCCCATCCTCCCCGTGAGCCTGCTCTTGGTCCTGGGTGAACCCCTCAAACTCCCCTGCTCTGTTCCCCACAGATTTCACCTCAGATCTACCAAAGCCTGCACTTCAGCAACCTGTCGCCCACCCACACGTCTGACCTCGTGTTGCACAACGTCCTGGGGCAGCAGGGCCAGCGCACCTACCCGGTGACCCACAACCACCAGAAGGACCCGGATGCTGACAGGGAGACCGTGCCCAACACCACGACCAGCTCGCCCACTGCCTCCCTCTCTCCCAGCGACTCCCTCTCCTGGACAGCCTCAGGCTCCAGGTTCCTGGAGTCTGGCCTGTCCACCTCCCCGTACCTCCAGTCCTCCCCCTCGGTCTTGTCCCAGGCATCCAGGTACATCGTGCAGAGGTCGGCCACCCCCATGCCTGTTGCCTCGTCCGTCAAGCAGCTCTCAAGACCCCCGAATACCACCCTTCTGTCCTCCATGAATAGTTCCCGCATTGGGTTCTGAGGTGGCCCCCCGTGTCTCCAGTCATCCAGCACAGTGACCAGGCCCATGGGGGTCCTGTCTGTCCCTGGCTCACCCCTGCCAGGCCCAGAGGATACAGACCTCCTTCTATTGACCTCCTTCTTCACTAGAGTCCTGGAGAAGAAAATAAATATTTGCAGATATCAGAGGCCTCCAGGCCGGGAGGTCAGGCTGTGTGTCCCTTTACCCCCTTAAGCGCCAGGCTGTCTTGGAGATTGGCCGCGTTCCCCTGATGAGGCCCTGGCTGGATGCAGGGAGAATCCCCTCCCCCGAGATACCTGGCCCAGCTGTCCAGCAGGTGAAGCATAGGGACAGGGCCTCGGAGGCTCCCTGGTGTTGTGGTCAGTGGGTTATGCCACTAGGGTGAGTGGTTTGCATCTGAAAGTTGGTTCAGCCTCATGGCTGGAGTGAGGCCCTGCAGCCTTCCGGAGGTGGTTTGTCTCCTGCCCTGCCTTGTGCCTATTCTCCCCCACCACCAGGCACTCCACCCCAGGGAACTCTGTGTTTACAAACTGTCCTGCCCCTCAAGGATGGTGGAGGGGCATCCTGGCCTGGCTCTGTGACTGTCCCTTTGGACCCAGGTTTTTCTGAACCAAAGCCCCTTGACCCTTCTGCTGTGTGCTGCTCTGGGCGGCATCTTGGGTGGAGAACTCAGGGCGGTGGTAAAAGCCGTGGCAGGGTCAAGGCCTCTGCCCAGAGGTGGAGGGAAGGACATGGGGGGAGGAAGGTAGTGAGGGGTAAGGATGGGATGTGGCAATTCAGGCCTCGGGGAATTTTCTTAAAGGCCTGTGCACAGCCCTCACCTGGAGGGAGGTTCTCTCGGACCTCAGATCCTGACTTAGGGGCCATCTGGCTGGACACTAGGGGTCAGGACAGGTCAACCTCAGGGGAAGACTTCCGCGAGACTCTGGGACTCGGTGAATCCTCCTCTCAGTAGGACCCAGCCCCCTTACAACAACATTTTACTGCCTTTGCCCACGTGTTTCATTGTAGGCACTTATGAAAATAATAGTCTGAGTCTCCACTCCTGCCCTAGCTGCTGCTGCCCGTGGGGATTTGTCTCTGGCCGTGGGGGCTTGCTGGCCACCCCTCCAACCGGCAGGCACCCACGATACAGAACCCCAGGCCCAGAAGGCATGGCGGGGCTGAGTTCTACCTACGGTGATGTGAGTGATGCTTTGTCTCTCCTGCTGTTCCCACCCTGCCTCTCCTGGCCCAAACCCCAGGTGGGATATGGGACAGATAATTCTAGAGCATCGGGGTCAGATGGAGCTTAGAGCCCAGATGGAGAACTGGAGGCCGGTGTCACACTGGAGTTGGTGAGTGAGGAAGCTGGGTTGGTGGCCCAGTGTCCTGTCTCCTGGTCATCTGTGCTTCCCTGAGCGCCCCTCTTCACCTCCCTAGGCCCAGGTGTCTACACAGCCACACCAGTCTCCTCTCTGCCTGTTCTCTGCCTTCTGCATCACTGGCCTTAAAAAACTACTTATATTTAGCTCTCCTCTGATTCTAAAAGTAGCAGAGGCTGAGTATAGAAAAATCAAGAAAATACCGAAAAGCATAAGAGCCAATAAAAACCATCTGGATTCTATTTCCCAGAGATCAGTTTGGCGCATTTTCCTCTAGATGTTTTTCTGTCTTTACGCACACGTGTGCCCTCACAGCCTCGATTCCCACTCACTCCCTCCTCATATGCTCACACCCACACGGCCCGTAACCTTGGCATCCTGGCTTTGAATGCAGCCTTTCTCACAGGATGAGCAAATGACATCGCTGTGTTGCTGTAATTCCTTGCGACCCTTGCCAGTGATGGCTGCATTCAGCCCTGCTCTGGGTCGCTTTCTTCAGGATCTAGGGCTACCTCCACACTGCTCTTGAAAGAGGCAGGAAGGCACGTGCCTCCTGTGCGCCCCCTCACGATGTACCGTTAACAGTCCGACAAAGGAACAGACATTTGTCTCCAGTGGAACAGAAACGTTTTCCCGGGCCCAGCTGGCCTGAGGGGTCATGATCTCAATGGCAGACTGAGGGTGGGCGTCCTTCCACCAGCAGATGGGGCACGAGAGAGCACCGAGGGGCTTGGAGACAGCCTTGCCCTCAGAAAAGCCATCCTTGACCTTGTTTTCCGGCATCGCTTCCCTGTTTCACACTTGTTCAACACTTATTGAGCACCTGTGGTGTGCCAGGTACTGCCCTGAACACCGGGGACACCAGAATGAGGAACGCTCAGCCTCGGCCTACTGGGGACACAGACCATGCCTCTGTAGCGTGGATGCATCTTCTCATTAGTGTAGCCAATAGATTCTCTTACTGAGCGCAAGGATTGGGCATCCAGGGGGAGGCAGGCGGAGCTCGTGGGACAGTGTGCAGATGCAGTGGGGACCAGGAGAAGCAATCTGAAGTGGCTTCCTGGGGGAGGGGGCCTTTAGCCCAGAGCCAGCCAGGACCTTTGTGTTTGCTGTCTGCTCTGCCTGAGAAGGGCTTCTGGCCCATCAAATGGCCTCTCCTTTATGCCCTCCTCAAATATCGCTTCAGGGCCTGGTACCCCTGCACTTTTTACCCCCCTCCTCCCGCCCTGCTTTATTCTCACCACAGTACCCCTGCCCCCAGGACAGGGCCATGTCTATCTTGTTCCCACACCTGGCCCCGTACTTGGTGCATAGCAGGCCTTGGATAACTGTTTGTCTACTATTAGCTCAAAGTCTATCTCAAAGTCTACCTACCAGGAGGTCCCCTGAGATTGCTCTCACCCTGGTTTTCTCTCCTCTGGGCCCGGGTGTGCCCTATTTGCTAGCCCTGGATGGACTGTGGAGCGTCCCTCCCCAGTGACAGACTCTGTCTGTGAGCCCCAAGGGGCTGCTGGGAAGGAGCAGAGGACCGGGGCCTTGAGGTCCTGCCCGGTTCTGGTATCTGGGCTTCTTTCTGGATTCGATGCTGAGTGGATCCTGACTGAGGTCGGGAAGGGGAGGCAGGTCTTGGACCGGCTGGTGGTGGTGCCAGTCAAGGGAAACTGCCGGGGCGAAGGCCTGGGAGTGGGGCAACGAGGAGAGTCTGGGAGCCGGGCTGGGGGTCTCGTTGTTCCGAAGGCCCGACCGAGGCCGGGTGTTCAGGGTGCCAAGTTCACCACGGACATGGCGTCCGCTGTGTCCTGGGCCGGGGAACGAAGTGCAGATGTGGAACGGCGTGTCGCCCACATCCTGGACACGCACCACATCCATCATGTGTCCAGCACATGAGAGGCAGCCGGGGGCCCAGGGAGGGTGCATCCTTGCCCAGGGTCACCAGGCCCTTTCCTGTTGAGCGGTGCCGTCTGGGCTTGGTGACCTGTTTCCAGACCAGTGCCAGTGGGGGCGGTAGAGAGGGGGCCGTCCAGCAGAGAGAACAGCCAGGGAAGAAGCCCCAGGTGGGAACGAATTGGCATTTTTGGAGGCCAGTGTGGCTCAGTGGAGTGAATGGAAGGAGGGAGGGGCTGTGGGGAGAGACCCTAAGGGGCCAGTGACACGGGGCTTTTTTCTCTTGGGAATCCTGAGGGCATTTTAATAAAAGGTGCAACACAGTCTCACTGGTGTTTTGAAAAGCCCCCTCTGGCTGCCTAGTGGTGATGGACTGTGGGGGCAGGAGTGGTTCTGGGAGACCGGGGTGGGGGCAGGCAGGCACCATGGGTGGCCTGGACGAGAGGGTGGCAGACTCTCATGGCCAGGAGCTGACTGTGGGAGCCTCGGAGTTGTGCAGGAGAGGAGCTCTGGGCTCCTCTGGGCTGCTTTTCCTTCAAAACCCTTTTTTCCCCCCTTTCGACTTCAAGAGCTTTTAAAAATTATCGTATTTCCTCAATTCTCAGACATAATTTTAAAATTGTATTAAAAACAAGGTTTTTAAGGTTTCAGAAGTTGGGATGTGTCTCATAATTCAATGATTTTTTTCCCCCCTTGGAAAGCTGGTATGACTTCGATAGGAACAAGGCGGTGAGGGCACGCCTGCTGGGGAGGGAGCGCCCCCTGGTGGAGCGAGATGCGGTTACAGCCCCTGGCCGGTTCAGAGGCGCGGAGGAGGGGATTCATTCTTTCCCCGGGAGAGGAGTCGGGCTAGTGGCGGGGAGTGAGGGAGGTGGGGAACCTGTAGTTCTCCTTGGAGGCTGTTGACGGGATGCGACGGGGCGGGGAGGAGGGGGGTGAAGTAACTTTCCAATTTGCCAGATGTTTTACACACAGTTTCTCGCAAGGTTGCTATGTCATAGATCATCTATCCCCATTATACAGATGAGAAAATGGAGGCTCACACAGGATGAGTTGCCCAGGGCCACCTAACCAGGAAACGTCACAGCTAGGTTTCCAACCAGGGATTTTAGGTGTTTCTGCCACTTCTGGGCCAAGATGCTCAGGATTTGGGGGTGCTGCCTTTGGGTGGGGCATCCCTTGGACACTGGAGACAGAAAAGTGGTGGAAAGATTCCTTACGACAGGAGACCTCCACCTCCTGTGGCAGGCAAGGTCAAAGGTCAGGAAAGGGAGTGTCCAACCCATCTGGCCCATCCAGCCTCAATGTTCTCCTTGCCCACTCCATCACAGAAGCCAGCAAAACTGGACAGAAACGTCATCTTCTCCCAACCTTCTCTCAGTCGTTACTTCTTCACACACAGAATTAAGTCCCCTGGGACCTCTCGATTTTATTTGTTTCAGGGTGATGGGTGGGCATGAATAGGTGGCATGTGTTGTAGCCCCTCCCTACCCCCCTCTTGCCCTTGGAAGACAACCTCCTCCCAGCCCCACTCTTGCCCTTGGAAGACAACACCACTGGATCATGCACTTTCTTGCAGAGCCCGCATATGACTTCAAACTCCTTTCCTAGGCAGCCCCTTCCAATCGATCCCAGCTGGCACTTGAGATTCAACTCAGTTATCCCAGCTGCCCAATCCCCCTGCAAGAGGTTAGTTTTACTCTGAAGTCAGTTCATGGGTGTCTCTCTTTAGAGAGACAGGAAGCCAGAAAATAAAGTACATTACCACTATGGGCAATTAGAATTCAGTCCCTGCTGAAGTAGGATAGAATGTGCCTCTGTAGTGGGAATTTGATGAGATTATCGCAGTGCCTGGCATGGAAGAGTAACAACTTTTTATTGAGTAGTTATTTTGTACCAGGCATGATCACATTTAACCATTAT